CCATAACACTTGCATTTGCATGCCTGTAAATGCTATATGAAAAGTTCTGCTTCCAGCTCAGTTGTAATGGCTTTGAATGCCTTGGTGACTGAACCTTGTAGGCAGTTGCTTTGATTTTGTAGTTTTGGTTTTGGTTTTAACTTTTGGCTTTTTTGAAACATGATCTCCTTGTAGCTCCAGATAGCCTGGATTCACCATGTAGACCAGGCCAGCTGGGGCTACAGGGAAACCCTGTCTCAAAAAACCAAAAAATAGGGGTCTGGAGAGATTGCTCACTGGTTAAGAACACTGAATGTTCTTGCAGAAGACCCAGGTTCGAATCCCAGCACCCACATGCAGCTAACAACTGTCTGTAACTCCAGTTCCAGGGGATCCAACAGCCTCTTCTGACCTCCGTGGGCATTGCACAACACGGGTGCACTTACCTACATGCAGGCAATACACACACATAAAAATATAAAAATAATTAATAAAATATTTTTAAAATACAAAAAATAAAACAATGCAAGTTGTAGCTTTGGAAGGGTGGAGTCTTGCTCTCTAAGCACTTCTTCTATTGCCCCAGTGCACACACATGTGCATGCTTATGTGTATGTGCATTTATATGAGGCCAGAATTCAGTTTTGGGAATCATTCCTTAGGAGCCACCTTGGGTTTTTTGTTTGTTTGTTTGTTTGTTTTGTTCTTTTTGAGACAGGGTCTCCCACTAGTCCCAGCTGTCCTGGAACTCACTATGTATACCAGGCTGGCCTTGAACTCACAGAGATCCGCCTGCCTCTGCCTCCTGAGTGCTGGGATTAAAGGCGTGCGCCACCACGCCTGGCCCACCTTACTATTTGACACAGGTTTCTCAGTAGAACCCAGGCTAGACTAGTTCCCTTGTCTCCACTTCCCCAGTACTATAATGAAAGGCACATGCCTTGTGGGTTTTTTGTGGGGGTCTTTTTTTGAGACAGGGTCTCCCTGTAGCCCCAGCTAGCCCGGAACTTGCTGTATAGATCAGGGTGGCCTGGAACTCACAGAGACCTGCCTGCCTCTGCCTCCTGAGTGCTGGGATTAAAAGCATGAGCCACTATACCTGACAATGCCTTTTGTTTTGTTTTTTTATTTGAGTCCTGGGGTTCCTCATGCTTATGTGGCAAGTGATTTACTGACTTTGTTATCTCCTCAGCTCCAGGAGGCTGTTTAAAAATAACAGTTAATCTCTTTAACAATTAAAGATGCTTTTTCTGTGCCCTCTTTCTACTTTTTTTTTTTTTGGTCTTTTTGAGACAGGGTCTCCCTGTAGCCCCAGATGTCATTGAACTCATTATGTAGAACAGGCTGGCCTTGAACTCACAGAGATCTGCCTGCCTCTGCCTCCTAGGTGCTGTAATTAAAGGTGTGCACCACCATGCCCAGCTTTTTTTTATTATTTTATGTGTATGAATATTTTGTCTGCATGTGTTATCAGTGTACATGTGTGCAATGCCTATGGAGACCAGAAGAGGGCATTGGATCCTTGGAATTGGAGTTGTAGGTGGTTGTTAGCTGCCATGTGAGTGCTGGGAACCAAACCCTGGTCCTCTGCAAGAGCAACTGGTGCTCATAACTGCTGAGCCATCTCTCCAGCTCCATTGTCTGCCACTTTAAATGTATTCAAATTCCTTTCCTCACCAAACTGCACATTTTTTCATGTCTCTGTGTTCCACTTGCTGCTCCTCTCATTAAAAACCTGATTGAGAGCAGTGCGTAGCAACATGCCACAGCTTGAATATTATGCTATCTTGAAATTTCTTCCACAACTTTTGAAATCAGCCTCACTGAAGTTCTTAGGGCATGGGCAGAAGCAAATAGATTCTTTGCTACAGTGTAACACAAATGAACTCTAGGGTAGTTCTTGACAGAGTCCTTGGTCCTCTCTGAAACCTAATGAGCCTGGCTTCTAGTGTCCACATTTCTCTTAGCATTCTATCTTACAAACTTCCATCCCAATGGCCTGTGAAGTTCTGCTTACAGCATTCTAGTACTTTTTGCCTACAGCTCTAAACTCTTCACATTCCTCCCATGAATTAGTTCTAAGAGCCTATGAATCAGTATATCACAGCAATGATCCCATTTCTTGATTCCAATTTTTTCTTATTATTTTTTGTTGTTTTTACAAAAGCAAATTAATAAAAGAAGGGTCTGTTTGAGCTCACAGAGAGTATAGTTCAACATGGTGGGGAAGACATACATGCAGGAGTGTGAAGCAGCTGGCCTACATCATGTCAGTGTTCAGGAAACAGACAAATGCTGGTATTCAGCTTGCTGTCTCCTTTTCACTCAGTCTAGGACTCAGTGAGATGGTGCCACCCATATTCAGGGTGAGTTTTTTTGGCTCAGTGAAACCTATCAGCTTGACAAGATTAACACTCACAGAGGTGATGGGATGATGACTGTGCCACTGGACACATGTCTTGTGCTAAGTATCCACTACTGTCTTAGTGTTTTGCATGTATACATTGATATATATCACAGCATTCCTGTAAATGAGCTGTTGTCCCTGTTTTCCAGAAGTATAAACTGAGGCACAGCATAGTTGGTAAGACAGCAGTAGAGCAAAACCTTTGGAGCCCACGTCTTGGTCCCTGGCCATATGTACCCTTTCTTCTTACCCTTGAGGCCTGTCCATACCCATACCAGGGTCAAGCTCCACAGGGCCAATGAGCCCACCCCCAGCCCCTGGAGGTTGCAATGTTAAGTCAGTAGGGCTTAATCACATGAATTCATTTATGGACTTGTTTACATATTACCATGGTGTAGAATTCAGTTCTGACAATTATAGGATCTGGGCCATCTCTCCCATGCCTGCTGATAGGTATTCTCACTTGGTGCTAGACACCATAAACTGCCTTCCTCAGGCCCCACTGCTCAGACCTAAAAGCCGTGGGACAGTTTGCAGTCAGTCTAGTGAACTGCTGTCCCAGCCATGGGACCTGGTGCAGGTAGGTTCTGGGACTGAAAGGAGCAGAGGGTGGGGCTGATAGGTGGTCCCGGTGTGCCCAGGCTGCACAGGGGGCTGACCCTACCACATTGACAGTTTAGCAAAGTTGCAGTTTCCCAGGTAAAGCACTGTCCTGCTGCTTCAGTAAAAAGAGGCCTGATCACAGGTCTTGGTAGGCAGCAAGGTTAGAGAGTGTGTCGGCCCCCTTCCACAGGCCATGACCTTCATTCTATCCATACACACCTGTCTCAGCCACTTGAGGGATAAGACCACTCTGAATGACTACTCATGCCCTCTGCACTGTCCTTTTCCCATGACATTCACATATCCTAGTGTGTTCAGGTCCCACTCACCTCCAGAGCTTCATCTCCCATCTTCCTTGGTGGTATAAGGTTTGGCCCTCCTTTCCCACAATCACATCCTCACTGCAGACTCTCCTTCCTAACACTGAGATCCTGCCATATGCTGTCACACCAAGGCTTGTCCAACTCATGAGGGGAGCCCAAAGTGTTGAAAGATCTAGGCCTAGCCCCCAGTGAACTCCATGCTAAGAGCCCAGCTGAGACAGGCCAGTGGGGCTGTACTTCTCAGTGAGGGACCTGGAAAGGACCCAGCAATGCACATAGCTCAAGAGCTGCATGTAGTCTCCTACATATGGAAGATGATACCCAGGGCATGGCTCATCCCACAAGGCTAGGCAGAGGGGTCAATAGGCTGCAGGTGTGAAGCCTGCCAGCCTCAGAAAACTGCACATGCCAGTCCCAGCTGCCCAGCTTGTCCCTGAGCTAGAATAGCACTTCAACTTCAGTGAGTGGCTAGTGGGCACATTTTTATCTAACTCTGAACTTTGTCACTGAAGACATTATGGCCTTCACTTGGGGCCATGTAAGGCAGTATAATTTGATGATCCGTATTAATCAGGTTGAGTACAACATATAAAGCCAGCACCACACACGTCTGACTGGAGTCTAATCCCCCTCTCCTGTGTCTCGGGGAGATTTATTTTCATCAGTATAATTCATTTGACAGGAATGTATCATAATTGCAATTGCTAGGAAGGGTTTTTCTTCTTTTTATTCTTTTAGAGGAAATTGCATTGTTCTCTGGCAGTGTGTCCTTTTTCAGAGCTTCTAACTGAAGATGGGAAGCAAAGATTTGTTTTCTTGATTATCACAATCTCTGGTTAACCAGCTGTGCTCACAAGTGGATCTCATAAAAGGGTCATCTGACTATATTGAGTTCCACCTCAAGCACCTCAGGCTAGTCCTGACAGAGGGCAAATTCCTTTTGCCCCCTATATTCCCACCAAGAAAGGTTGTCCCTGGTTTACTAAAGCATAGATCAAGACAGAGGACAAGGGACTGGCACAATGCTGCACAGCAGAAGTGCAACATTACAGCCTACAATCTGTTCCTGAGGCCTGAGCAACTGGATGGGTTGCAGGCATCTCCAGTTAAATTCCTGAAGTTCAGACTGGGAGAAGGACCATGGGCTCTCTGCTGAGAAGCTGTGTGTGTCTCTGTGCTACTGTTTCACCAGGCCCTTGTGGTACCATCCAACTCCTCTGCATCTCATCTCATCTGGGTGTGGAGCAGCCTCACCCTAGGCCTTCATCACAAGACTACATGGGTGGGGAATTCCATGGGGGTCCCTGGAACAGTGGGTTCATCTGGGCAAGGTATAAAGCCCCTCACACATTTCCTGGCATCACATATCCCTCTGAGGTTGCAGGGCCTGACCTAGTCCTCGGGGATTGGACTCTGCCACCCTGAAGCAAGCCAACCATTTTATGTCCCCTTCTTCTCCCTACTGTCCCTGTCCTATTCTCCTACAGCCCCTCTCAGTGCACCCCTGGACCTTACCAACACTTGTCTCCCAGAATTAGGCTCAGGGGCTCTCAGCTGAGCTATGGCTAGGGATGCCCATCTATGTCCTGTGTCCCTGATGATGTGAAAGGCCCTGACTCACTCTCTCTCTCTCTCTCTCTCTCTCTCTCTCTCTCTCTCTCTCTCTCTCTCTCTCTCTGTCCCCACAGTGCGACAGTGAGAGCGGCGTGGATGACAAGGTGAGCCCAGCTTTCCCTCCCTTCCCTATGGACTGGCCCAGGCTACCCAGTCTACCAACCCTGACTGAGCAGGGTAAGCTCTGAAAGCCAAGCACAGCCCAGCATCTGGGGGTTCTCCCTGTTAGATAGGCAGTACAGGGAGCTTCTTCCCCTGTATACAGCTATCCAGTCTGCCTGGCTAGATACGCTTGTCATGGCAGTGGCATAGGTACCCCAGGTGTGGAGCTCACGTAGGCCATTGTGTGGCCCTGATGGAGGGCATCTCAGGCCCTGAGGCCGGCCACAAGGTGGGTACCAGGGCTTTGCTGAGCAGCTGTAGGTACCTCCAGGGCTGGTTCTTGGTCATCATTAACTTCTATTGCTCAGAACAAAATGTCCCCATTAGCCCAGAGTTCGTGGAGCTCAGTGTTCAGCATAGGAGTCATCTGTCACCACCTCAGCTTCCCAGGGCTCTCCTGGTTCATGAGCCCTGCAGGTGACACCTTAACACACAAGATAGTCAAAGAATCTGAGACTGGAATGGAGGTGTATTATCAGAGGTCACATGTTCCCAAGTAGGCAAGGGCATTTTGGCTCAGGGTCCTCTCTTGTGCTTAACAGCTGGCTGCTGAACAAACAAAAGCCTAGCCAAGGAAACTGGGGTGCAAGTGGGCTGAGCTGGACATGATAGTCCCAAATGTAGAGGAGGGAACAAGAAGGGGAAGGTGTGTCCCAGACACAGATGCTGGCATGGGAACAGGATAGAGGTTTTGGTTTGAGGCAAGTTTGGTGGTGGTGGTTTTTTTTTTTTTAATATTTTCTTTATTATTTTTATTTTATGTGTATGAGTGTATTGCCTGCATGTATGTGAGTGCACCCGTGTTGTACAATGCCGCAGAGGTCAGAAGAGGGCTTCGGATTCCCCTGGAACTGGAGTTAAGGACAGTTTGTAGCTGCCATGTGGGTGCTGGGAATCAACCCAGGTCCTCTGCAAGAGCAGTCAGTGCTCTTAACTGCTGAGCCACCTCTCCAGCCCCAAGGCAAATTTTTATGAAAGGAGTTTTGTTTGTGTGGGTCTGCAGGGCGCATTAAGGGTTTCTGGTGTCTTCTGGCCACACATACTTGATCTGAGTAGGAACTACTGTGTGGGGCTCCATGGAGCAATTTCTGGCTACTTGGTAAGAGTAGGCTTGGGTAGGCTCAGATCAAGAGGCCCCAGGTTGTCAAAGGTTGTCACCCATCCTGCCTTTGTCAGCTCATGCCTTTACTGTCTGGTTTCAAATCCCTGTGCTGCCCTTCATTGTGTGTCCCCATGAAGTGCACACTTTCCTTAAAGGTCCCTTGGACAGAACATGTTGGGGTAATGCCCTGGAGGTCAGTATGTTCCAGGAGGAGCTGCTGGGGCCCTGGGTGGGAAACCTATGGGGAAGATGGAACTGTACCATTCCCTGTTTGGAGCTGCTGCCTCCTCGCCACCCACAAGCCTTAGACAAACCTGACGTTTCAGTAGGCACACCTGGATTCGCCATATCATTAATGAAGTTAGGTGTTAGGTCACAGGCACCTGTTAGAGTGCTCAGCCTGCACATTCGTCAATATCACCTTGGGTTTAAAACCAATTTTTGGAGAATGTGTTCTCTGTAGCTGAGAGCTGCTCAGAGAAGATAGGATGGAGTGAGGTAAGAAGGGGGTTTCAAGCACCTACTTCTCCCTCCTGTCTTCCAGAGGAAGAAAATTCATCACCTATCTGAGGGCAAATGGCTAGGACAGCCAGCTGGCCTCTATCACTGCTATCAGGGAGTTGCCAGGGTTTACTCCAGCCCTCCAGAACCTGCTGGTCTTCTGCCCAGTGCCATGCCTGGCTCTATTGCCTCCACATAGTGGGACGGTGAAATAAGACCTTCAGAGAGGTCTCTACTGTAGGGGCTGAGTGGGGCTGTTTAACAGGCCAGTTTCCCAAGTGGGTTGGGAGAGCATGACTTCTGTCACTTTCACTGAGTCTCTGTGATGATAAGAGTGAACCAGAGCCTTGAGGGTGACCAAGGCAGCCCTTGTCCCATTCCCTAGTATGTCTGTTTGTCACTCTGGTGGCTTTGAACTGGCATACACAAGGAACAGAGCAGCCATCAGTGAATGTCCTTTTGTTCTGGGGGCTTTTTTTAGGAGGCAGTGGGCCTTTGGAGCAGGTCATATGTCTGCCCTATTAACCCAAGTTGCAGTTTCTATGAGTATCTGGGGTCTCTTTGTGACATTAAGAGCTAGAGGCATTTGTGTCCCAGGCAGTCTTGAGACAGAAGACAGGCCACTGGCAGTTTTACAGAGAGTTTGTGTACAGGAAAGGATGTCTTTAATAGCTCAGAGTACATTAGAGGAATTTTTGTGAGAGCCATATCCTCCCAAGTACCCCCAACATGGGCATGGATCATGGCCCAGACCTCTTGGCTGCTGCCACGGCAAAGATGCTGGCTACCTAGATGCTGGGCTCACGTGTCTGGGGACTATGAATGTTCTGGACACTCTGCTCTCTCTATCTGATTCTGAGCTCTAAATGGCCAGACCCTGTCTCTCTCTTGGGTGCAGCTTTGCCAAGGCCTGGTCCCCTGCTGAGAAGTGCATCGAGATCAAGTGACTGCCTTGTTTCTGAGGTGACAATGTCCCTACCTTTTCAACACAGTGAGAACTTGGGAGGGTGAGGGGCCTTTCTGCACTGGGATGGAGTGGATGTGGAGGAAGGAAGCCTTCAACAGCCCACATTCACAAGGGCCATCAGAGGTACTGCAGACCCTGGGAACTGGTACTTTACACAGCTAGTGTCTCACATTTCTTGGCATAATAGCCTGGAAGCAGTGAAAAAGTGCACATAGCCACTTTGATGGCTGGACTGTTGTTGGGCAGGACACAGAAAAGCCACAAGAGGTTCAGTATGCCAGAGCTGTGGTACTGACTCAGCAAACACAAATTGGGTTTAGGGACAGCCCTGCGGCAAGGGGTGGAGAGACTGGATACCCCAGTGGAGCTAGACATCCACCTGGACAAGGGTGGCCCTTCTGGACTCTGGGCATCTTTCTTCCAAGCTGCCAAAATCTGAGCTCAGCGTGTCATTGCCTGCTGCCTGTTTCCCAGGAAGAGAGAACATGAGACATTGCTGAAGGTCAGGATGCAGACACTTTGGGGTTGTTCCTTCAAGTAGACAGGGAAACTTCTCACCTCCCTGTCTCCAGCAGCCCCCACCCCACTTAAGTCTCATCACCACTTGAGATTCCCTCCCATGAAATCCTACCCCCTGATCCAGCTCAGTATTCCATGTCACACACACACACACACACACACACACACACACACACACACACACGGACATGCACTGCTACACACAGCCCAGGGACCCACAAGCTTCATTGGCCCTACCCAGTACAGCTCCATATTCCCACCCACCAGAGTTGCACTCCACTATGGCAGCTGGTGGAGCAGGGAGGGCTCGCAGCAGGCTCAGGAGTAGGCAGACAGATGGCCCCTCTGAGAAGGTGTGTCTTGTGTTTAACTGCTTTTTTATTGGAAAAATATGGGTGAAAAATTGTGTGGGACTCATTAGGCAGCCCACTAAGCCCCAGCCGGCTGCCAGCTCTGCCCAAGTGGCCCCAGCAGCCAGCCATCTCGCCAAGACTCCTCCTTGTTGCATATGGCCTCAGCCCTGTGGCTAGCCAGTCCTTGGGATGCCCACCAGGAGATGGGCTTCATACTCTGTCCTGGGGGCAGCAGACCCCACATGAGTCATCTTGTGAGGAACAACACAGGTCAGGCACAATAGTGAAGATGGCTTTCCTCCTGAGGTGACTTCAGGGCTGTGATGTGGCTGAAGCCCGCTGTCCTCTGCTACTACTCCAAATATCTTGGACTTAAGTCCAGCAGGGTCTTCAGTAAACAGTCCAAGGACTTTGATATTTAGGTCTCTAAGATAGGCACCAGGCATAGTAGGCTGCCTGGCACCCTATTCACCATTGCATAGCCAACTGTTGGACTTGGTATCTAGGGGGCCCGCTAAGCAGAAGACATGGGGTCCAACAGTGCAGAAGCATCCACCACTATGTGGCAGGCACTTCCTGGCCCCAGACAACCTCAAGGTGGCTCTTGCCCACCAGCTTTGTTTACAGGCAAGGCCTCTGAGAAGACAGAGTTCCTACTGTGATTCAGGATCCAGTGGGAAGACATGGTCAGCAGGGAGGTGAGGGAGGTTGAAAGCCCTGGGTTGTAGGTAGCAAGACACCAACTCAGGAGGTCCCAGGGACAGAAAGTGTGCTGGGAGGGAATGTGGAAGCTCCTCTTCTGGGTACCTGGTCCCTACCTCAAGGGCTCAGCATCAGAGATAGTGTGGAATAAAGGTGTCTAGAGAAGGGCTGGACCCCATGGGTGATTATAGGATCCCACCATACATCTCTTGTGCATAGCAGGAAGCTGAGGCCCAGGGTCACCAGCACTCATGTGCAGGGTTGGCCATCTAGCTCTTGAGTAGGTCTGCCAACAGCTCCAACTTGGATAGACCAGAGAGGTACCTGATGGATGCCCCTGATGAGTGGTGTCTGTGTGCCCTGTCCTTCCAGGTGCTGATGTGGGGTGCCCAGCTGAGTGATCCTTGTAGCCACCCTTTCCCCTCCAGTCAGGTGCCTATCATCTGGTGGTGGTTTGAGCAGGGTCCGCTCCCTTCTGTACCTGGAAGGCCACCACTGGCTATAGACCCCCTAGATCTTCTGCCTGCTGATCTCTAGGGTCTCTGCGGGTGGGAGTATTATCTGGATGGAGGCCTGCAGGGGTGGTCCCCACCTCAGGGCAGAGGGGAAGAGTAAGCCCAGCCAGTCTCAGGCAGGCTCTCTAAGGTAGAGTTCAGGAGCATTGAGCAGAAGTCCAGAACCAAATGACAGGACCTTGAGGCTCAGCCTTGAAGGTCAAGGAGAGAAGGTCTGGTTCACTGGACCCAACCCAGGGCTGCCCTGAGCCCTGCCTCTCCCATGACTTTACATATAGGGCTA